TGTGTGTGTGTGTGTGTGTGTGTGGGGGTGGGGGGGGGTTGATGCCATTAATTGCAAAGCCTGGAACTCAATTACTAAAGAATGTGTTATTATTTCATTAAGAGAAGTATTTGTTTATTAAACTCTTTTAATAATGCTGTATTGTTATGCAGCTTTTACATTTTTAATATTGTCTTTTAATCTTTCAGTGCATGCTGATAATAAGTGGTACTCAAATATAGCTGCAAGGAGCACTGACTGTGACCTTTTTTGATGACAAAGAGTTTTGTTGTTGGCGTGGTTTTTCTTTGTTAAAATTAGGTCTGAGATTTTGACTTGGCAGTACCCATCTTGCAGTAGGGCTCTGGTATTAGCGCGTGAGAAGGTGACAAGTGTGAGAGTGCCTGGGTGTGACTGTTAAGCTGTCTCCAACAGTTACACTTGTTACTCACACTTGATATTTTGGAGGCTAATGGCTTCATGCAGATGAAATTGTCCATCATTGTTATGCAAATGAATAGACTATTCCTGATTTTTTGGAAAAAAAAAACTGAATTACAATTTCTTTTTTTCTTTTGTTTTTTTAAAGTGCAAGGTCTGGTTATTAAAGCAGTAGTAGTTTGGGATGCACTCATTTCCTGGCAGTGTTAATGACTTCCACATGAGTGGTAGTCACTGGCATCTTATATGCCTCGAGTTGCAAAGGTGCAAACATGTTGATCATATTACCGGCTTCTCTGTCATCATCACCATCATGATCATCTTCTTGTTTCTTAACATTACACTGCTTCACCAGCTTTCACCGAGAGCCTGCATTTACCTAAAAATAATTTATTCTTTTTTTTATTATTATTATACAAAATGTTTTATTCAGGTCACAGGGTGATGTTTGAATCTGTACCAGCTTGCATTGGACAGAAGACGGGAAAACCGGGGACAGTCCCTTGGAACTATCTTAAAATATGGTATGACATGTTTTCAGATTTTTCTATATGCTATTCAGCTTTCATACTGATTATTTATTCCATGCATTGTTCTGAGAAATTTGGTAGAATTTCCAGTCTTGCTTTTTTATGTGAACTCTAATTGTAATAGATTGTAAAGATATGTCACTGGTTTACTGTGATTTTTGAATATAGGGAATTGATCTAGATCACCTTGAACTGAACTTTAAGCATATTTAAATGAATACTGGGGAACATATGGATTGAAATGAAACCTGTATGGCCATCAGACAAGTATAATTTAAGAGTTCACTGATGTAGTGCACCCAGTATAAACTCTACTATGTATCCCAAAAGCACCAGCTGCCTCTCCTGTCAAGCTTAAACACCCATGCTGTTTTCCATAATTCTCAGCAGAACCTTTAATGAAACCTTTCCTGTCTTTTTTCTGACCACAGCCAAGGTTGTTTTCCACAGGCAGTAATGTGATCCTCACAAATCAAAGGATACATGTAAACTTGATTGAGTAAGACATATTTAATAACTACTTATCACAAAATCCCATTGCCATGTGAGTTTTCCCCCTAAAAGTTTAAAGGTAATTAATAAAAGCAACAAACTAATGCTGTTTATTAATTATCTACACAGGAATGTGGCCGAAGGAGAAGAGAAAAAAAGGAAGACATGGAGAGATGGAACAACAACTCATGAAGTGCTAACTGACAAAGCTGGAAGAGTAAGAGAGACCACAGGTGCAAAACTACTTTTTTCACGTTTTAAAAAGGATATAGTAAAAAAAATAATAATACACACAAAAAAGGAAACAATCCACATGAATGTTATTTGCAGATTTTCCCATATTAGAAAAAACCTTGGCACAGTGGAATAGATTTACAGGAATGATGTAAACATGACATTGTAGCAAAAAACTGAAAAATGATGTGTATGCAGAGACCCATCTACCTGTAGAAAATAGAATTGATTAGTATTAAAAATACATCAACGTGAAAAGATGTTTAATTATTACGTTTTATACAACATTTATACACCTGAATTACATATACAAGATTTAGCTACACTGGCGTATTACTGTCAGCACTAAACCTTTCTAGTTGGTTGCACATAGACAGAATTTTATCTAAGCTATCTTCCAGTTTATACAGCTTTCCAGATTGTGGGTTAAGCCCTGCATTTCAAACACTTGAATCTGATGCTCATCTCTTTTGCAACTGTACTAAAGGAGTTCATTTACAAAGTAACAAATCATAATCAACAGCCACATGATTACATTTCCTCCATGCTTACTATCATTGCTCTCTGTTTTATAGTTGTGTGCGTTACTGCAAAGTCAGACCAGTTATGTTTTTTGTTATTTTTTGTCAAATATACAACGGTGGAACATCAAATTAAACTTGGCCAAACTTTCAAATGATGAAATCTGATCAATTCCTGTTAGCCAAAAACTCAAGCGTCAAAGAGCTTGAAACGTTCTGCTTCTTGTAGGTTTTTTTTACTCTTGGATCTGTATGTATGTGAAGGGAGTGGAAGCTTGTCCTACGAGGATGACTTTTTCACCTGGACCTTTTTGTTGTTAAAATCAGCAGAAAGTTGGTTTAAAGTAGGATGGCAGCCTTTAAGGGAGAGGAGATACAATGTTTGTTTCAGAAGAACTAGGGAGCTAAATATTACCTAAATAAGAATGATTTCAAACTCTAAACCATCCAAAGCTTATCGGGCTAAAGTGAGTGTAATAGTCCTATAAAAGTCCTTTTAAATAAAATGTAATTAGTCAGGAAAAAATGTTATGCACTTTGTAATGAATGAGGATGTGGGAGCAGCTGCATTTATCCATTACAGAATGAGAGAGAACAGGCGGATCTGTTGGCCTTAGAGCTTGATGAGAGTTCACACTGTGACATATCTGCCATAATTTTGCCCATCAAAAACAAATATGCAAATTAATCCTAGCCAAAAATTGATAGTGGAATTTGTATTAAGCAGACTGGACTCACTGCTACCTCCTACCTCCACCTCTCTCTCTCTCTCTCTCTTTGAGCTGCTCAATTCACATCACAGTGTCATCTGCAAACATGAACAAGCTTGTTTTTTTCGGAAGGGTTACCAGAAGAAAGCCTCACCTCTGTAAAAAAAAAAAAAAAAAAAAAAAAGAGTTTGCAATGTTGAATATGAACAAAGCAGAACACTTTAGGAAAAATGTCTAAATGTATAGAGACAAATATTCAGTCATCAGTTTCACAGCTAAAGCTTGGTCAAAATAGCTCTGGCTTTTGGACAGACGGCTAAAGGCAGAAGTAGATACATTCAGCACAGCTCTGACGTGATAAGCAAAATGATACTGAAGAGCATCCTTCAAGGGCAATAATCCCAAGCACACAAGTAAACCTGTGACAGAATTACTGAAAAGAAGTTGTAATGGTCCAGTCAAAGTCTAGAAGCAATGTTCTGAAGAGTGGACCCTACAGTGATGCAAAAGACTTATAAAGACATCGTTACACATTCAAAACCTTTTACTAACAACACTAAGAGCAGAAAAGGTGTGCCCCATCTGTTATTTATAGGAGGGTTGTATATATTTCATGATTCTAAAAAGGAAATCATACACACTGCAGTCAGCACCAAAACATCTTTGCATCATCCATCTGTCTGCAATATCAGTAACAAATGGCATGTGGTACACAAGGAAATGTAAACACTGGTAGTGCAATTAACAAAACATGTGACGCTCTATTTTTTTTTTTGGTATTTAACTTACCTGAACTTTCCAAAAGGCAACTAAGAAAGGTTCAGCATCAGTCCAAGTAAGCTATAAATCAGCCTTAATCTCTCCTTTCCTCACTCTCTGTCTGCTCTACTGATTTGACCTTTTTGTCACTTAACAATAAATGAACACACAGAAGCAAAATTGTCAGTCTGCTGCCAAAAACCTGCAGAGATATCTCATTTATCACACACAGGGGAATATTTTCCTCATTAGCAGTTCAAAAATAACTCGGCCTCCTTGAAGCCAAGATAGATTGTTTACCAAAGGCGAACAGGTGCTCTGCCATGTGAACAAGTTGTTCACTTGTTGTCATTTAGACAAATATTCACTGTTGATTACTTGGTGCTTTTTCTATCTATAAAGCAATGGAGCGGATGCAGTTGAACGCTTAAAAACAAAACAACAAAAAAATTGGGATATCCCGACCTTCTGCCCTCCTCTTGTTTGTTAATACCATGTTTCACCCTGTTCACAGCACTGGCTGGTCCAGTACAGTGTTGGGTAAGTTACTTTAAAAAAGTAATTAATTACTAATTACTTAGTCAATATTGTATTTAAAATACTTATCTAATTACTGTGTCAGAAAAGTAACTTAATTACTAAATAAGTAATTTAACTAAATACTTCTTAAAATCCCTATAAACATTGAGTGGGCAAACAACAGAAATTAAACTCTTTAAATAATAAATAATTTTTTTTTAAAGACGGAGACTACAGTAGGCAGCGGTAGCATCTCTTCCACAATGTAGCCTGCAATTATTTTTTTAAGCTCACCTTCAGACGCTTTCTGTGCTGCTGAAGTAAAATCAAGTTTTGCCTGCTTAGCAGGAGTTGCCGCGATGTTATCCATGGATGATGAACAAGAATCACTCAGAAGTGTTCGTCTATGCTCTCGTGTCAGGCGCTTCAGTAGATTACTCGTGCTATTAACAGCAGTCAATAGTTTTTTCTCCCCAGAACATAGCTTACATATTACTGTAATATTCTTGTCTGCTTGTTTCAGAAAGGTGAAGAGACGGGAATATGTCCATTTCAAAAAACAGCCACAGGCTTCAGCCGAGTCTGACATCTTCTGCTTTAGAATACTCCTATGCAGCAAACTGATGCAAAATGACGTGCACCTGCACAGTTCAACAGTGTATGGTATGGTAGTGTATGGTATTTTTCTCAGAGTACCATCAGTGTTTGTAGCATCAGAGCCTCAAATACAAACTACAATCAGTGCTAAGCATGCACTAAGCAAACTCGCTGCGCAGAACAGAAACGATAACAGACTTGCAAAGATCTCTACTTACCATGAAAGAACTTAACACAATTGAACGTGATGTGTTTGTGACCTAGTTACTGTACTAACAGTCAGAAATACAGAGCTTAGGTGTCCTCTTTCTTTATAGAGGAAGCACATCATGATAATGGACCATAAAGTGATCTCAAATTAGCTTCTGCTTAATGCTTGGGCCTTTGCTTAAGAGATGTTTGAAACAATTTCTCTGCCAAAAATGTGTTTTAATGGTGTGGCTCTTCCCTGTGCTGATAATGTAATCTGTCATATGTGCACAAAGACTGTCATTAGTTATTTTTCTACATTTTTTATGAATTCATAAAAGCCTGTAGAAATGCAGCATACATGAATTCATTCTTCCTTTCAGGTTTAGGTATGATAATGCATAAACAACCCCTTCAGTTATTTACAGGTCGCTTTTTTGTGAGGAATTGTTGAGTTGTTTGTTTTTCTGTTTTGGAGGATAGACTGACATGATGAGCTTAGGAAGCAATCTGCTATCATTCAGAAGCGCAGTGACCTAAGAATGAGGTGATAAATGGTGGCCAGAGATTTCAGTATAAAAGAAGCACCCCCAACCTCCATGAAAGCTCTCTAATGATAGGCTGCCAACAGAAGTGAGTCCTCGCTCAGATTTTTTTTCATTATTGAGTCAGTTAAGTGCCCTTAAATATTAATTGAATTTTACTTTTTTATTTTGACAGCGAGCGTTCAACAAGTCGACCCACACATGGAGCGTTTTGGCCCAGCAGCCATATATCTCCAGAAACCTGAAAAGGAGAGAATAGAGGCTCAAAACACTCCCTTTGATGCCAAAACGGCTTATTTTGTGTCTGAGCCCACTGACATGTATTTAAAGGGGAGAATTGTGAAGAAGGAGGGTAGCAAACTCACAGTTGAAATTCAGGGTGGGAAGGTATGTACATGTTTTGATGCATATTCAATAATCTGGGTATGGAAATCCCAGAAAGCTGATCCTAAACTCCGTGGGAATTGTTTGTACTGTACACTTTTAGCATGCAGTAAATTAGACATGTGAAACATCTGAATACGTTTTGCTCAAATTCTTCAGTGTTTTGTTGTGTGCAGACTCTCACCGTGAAAGAAGATGAAGTCTTCCCAATGAACCCTCCAAAGTTAGATAAGTTTTAGGACACAGTTGTTATGACCCACCTCAGTGAGCCTGCTGTGCTATATAACCTCAAAGAGCGCTATGGAGCATGGATGATCTACGTAAGACCCGTTTAAAATGAAACACAAAACTTTAGTTTGTGGAGAGACATGTATGTTTGCTGAAGGCTGAATAATTATGACCACCCCTGCCTTACATGCTGACAAGATTTCTGAAGGTGCCTAGAGGTTTTTGTCAGTGATATATCAGCAGCCACCTGGATTTAAATGTCTGGATGTGGATACACCACAAATCAGACCTCTGGCACATTCAACCCCTCACTCACACCTGCTAACATGTCGGTTGCTTCAGAGATGCCAGAAATGCAAATTGTTATGGCCAGACCCATTTGTCCCTTCAAAGTCTTTATACCTGCTCATTTCTCCCACCACCTACAAGTGACAGTGAGAACCATCCACTATATTCCACTTTGATGTGTACCATTGTTATGAGATCTGTTTTATGTATTTGATGTGTAGGTCTTCATAATGTTTGGGCTTCTTTTATTTCTTGCCATTTATATGATCTTGTGCTTATCAAACAGACCTACTCTGGCCTGTTCTGCGTCACTGTGAACCCCTGCCAGTGGCTCCTGGTGTATGATGCAATGGTTGTTGCAAGATACAGGGGCAAGAAGAGGATTGAGGCTCCACACCACATCTTCTCCATCTCTGATAATGCCTATCAGTTCATGCTCCAAGGTAATAAACCCTTTGATCAGCAACTCCATTAAACTAACGACCCATAAAAAGTCTACATTTTATATTCTACATAATGTCTTGTGTACTTCCCCTTTATTGGTGATGGTGCCTACAAATACATATGAATTTATAATGATTTAATGTGGCAGCTTATAATAAATGAATTCAATAACACAATTTGTATTAAATTACATTTTTTCACAGATTGTGAGAATTAGTCAATCATGATTACTTAAGTTTTAATGAAAGACATCTGTTTTGGACTGAAACAACTCTAAGTGATCTAACTGATCATTTCTGCACTGTATTACCCCTCAAAACATGACTATCCAGAGTTGGGACCAGGAAGCAGAGTTGCAGTCTTACACGCCT